AGAAAGTATGGAAAGAATTACCTTGATGATCAAGATCAAGAGTAAAGAAAACACGTTTCTAAACTCGTGATTTGAATCACTCCACAAGAAGTTTGATCAATATCACTTGAATAACTGTAGCGTGCAAGTTCTAAACACAAAAATTTGCAAACAAAATCTTAGCTCTCAATAAAGCTGAAAAAATAGATTTTTTTTTTTTTTTAATTACAGAATGTGATGTCTCTAATGGAAGAAAAGAAGGTTTTACATAGCCTTTACAACTTTAACGTATTGACACATAACTCCCAAATTAAATTGACTCGTACATGAGAAATACCCATAACCTCCCTATTAAAATGGCTAGTTAAGGGTGGAATATGTTAACGTGTGGGTTACAATATAACTTTAACTCTTATCTTAAAAACTAGCTTAAATATGATTAAATATGATAAACAAATATTTAAATTATAATTAAACAATGCAATTAATGAAATGTGCTTATTAGTCATCCTTAGACTAGTTCCATAAATTGAGCTGAGTTCATTAAATGCAACTTATGTATTTAATGCACCTCTTTCTTAAAGCTCAACTTTGCACAACATATAAGAGAGGTCTCCAACGTCTTAGAGAACTTCCTTTGATGAGCTCACCATAGCTTGAATATAAGTGTACAAGGTTTGTTGTAGCTTCTTGGCTCTTGTCCTTGTAATTGGACCTTGAGGTATGAAAATTCCTTGGTCGTGGTTCATTTCACTGTTGGGGCATTAGTATAACCACGAACTCATAATGACCATTTTGAAAGTTGTCTTCGGCATATCTTCCTTTTTTATCTTGATCTAATGGTCACCTGCTCGGAGATCTATCTTAGAGAACACTATTACTTCCATGAGCTGATCAGATAGGTCTTCAATGCGTGAAAGGAGGTACTTATTCTTCACTGTACTCTTGTTTAACTCCTTAAATCATGCACAAGTGAATAGAGTCATCCTTTTTCTTAACGAAAAACACCAGTGCACCCCACAACGATACGTTAGGGCGGATTAATCCCTTATCTAATAGCTCTTGCAATTATGCCTTGAGTTCCTTTAGTTTAGCTGGCGCCATACGATACGGGGCCTTGGAGATAGGGTCATACCTGGTTCCAGCTCTATTTTGAAATTCACATCTCGATACGGGGGAATTCCTGATAAATCCTTTAGAAACACATTTGAGAATTCATTTGCTACAGACACTGTAGTCAAGGAAGTTTCTTCTTTTTTAGTATTCACAGCGCTAGCTAGTATAGCCCACACTCCGTGCTATACCAACTTTTTCGCTTTCCACCATCGATATCACTTTAGGCATGGTACCTAGACTTGTACCCTTGAATTTGAATCTAGTCTTGGACAGTGGCGCAAACACCACTTCTTTCTTATAATAGTATATGTTAGCATGGTTTTCCACTAACCAATCCGGTCCATTATTACATCATAGTCAGTCATATCCATGACCATTATGTTTACCTCTTGGCTAATTTTTGACACTATCACTTGACCGTCAGAAAATTCATACACAGAGGTTCCAATACAAATTTTGCTTGACAGATGAAAACAGTAGATATAAACGAATGCATAGATCTCGAATAAAAAAATGTTAAAGCAAGGTGGCAAAAAACAGATAAAGTACTTGTCACCACAGCGTCGAGATTTTCAGTGTTCTTACTAGTTGAGGATAAGTTTTCGTCGGAGGGCAGTTATATGGCGATCCGCTGCAGTCGAACCCCTTTGCTGATCTTCAAGATTATCCACGCGACCCCCTGAACAATTTCTAGCTAAATGACCTTCTTGCCCACACCGAAAATAGGCTCTGGTATGAACCAAGCACTGTCCCAAATGATTCTTCCCATGTTCATTGCATTTAGGTCTGTCATCTCCTCTAGTATCATATCAGCCTGGTTGTTGACCACGCCTAGGATCCCGACGATGTCTGTTAGGTCGTCGTTGTGGTCAAGCAAAAGGTTGCTCATGATGATCAATCTAGGCATGACATCGTTTCTAACCTACTGTAACAGTCAGTGGAGGGGGTTCTCGAGATTCATCTTCTCCTCCCATGGCTTTAGCTACTCTTAGAGCGGCAACATAAGTAGTATGCGTTATCGCCTCAATTGTACGATGAATCTTCTTGTCCAATTCCAAGATGAATCTTTGTTCTAATTTATGTACAGTGTCCACAACTATGGGGCAAATCGTTTCATTCTTATAAAGTCCCTTGCATATGTGGTAAATGAACGTTCTCTCTCACTCAGTTGTGTGAACCTTATTGTTTACTCACTCAGTTGGTAAATGAACGTTCTAGAAAGACACTCTTGAAGTCCGACCACAAGATTACACTTCCCTCTGGACTAAGAATCTCACGAGTGCACTGCCACCACAACTCTGCATCGCCACGCACATGAACGCTCCATATTGTACCTTCTGATCATTTGGGCAATTTTTCAGCCCAAACATTATCACTATTGACGTCAACTACAACTGTGCCACTGTTGGATCATTTGCAATCCCACTAAAAGTTATCGGGGTCATCACAGACTTTAGGTATTTGACCTATTTGGTTGATGACAAAGCATTGGCTTGTTGGGTTGTTACTATCGTTGCATAACTGCTTGTAACGATTAAGGCAGTTGTGAGGTCTGGTGTGACTTGAGGCGCCGCTGGAGGTGGTGTGGCACTATTTCTCAGGCCAATTTACCAATTCCTCGCATATCAATCCTTTTCTACCTCTTCCTCTACCGTTAGTAGGGGTCATAATCTATATATAACACATAACGTACTAAGTCTATAATATTCCACTTACATACATTACATACTTTTCTAATCAATCACATAAATACATCCAACACATGCTTATAACTTCACATTAACATAATCATATTAACATACTTGACATAATATGTCTAACTTGCACCCTCGTAATCATGCAAACATAACAAACCTAACATATCAAACTTTACTTTATCAAATTAATCTACTACATGCATCATTCAACTAAACCAGTTATTATCTTCAAGAAGTATACTTAATAGTGACGGTACATCTATTGGAGGACCATGAAAGTATGGTGGGCCTACAGGATCTAAACCTAGAGCTCTAACACCAACTGTAACGCCCCTACATGCATGCCTTAAATATATATGCAGAAACTCATAATAAATAGTTTAAAATAAAGTCATTGACTTACATATTTAATTAAAAAATAAAAAGTTTCAAATAACATAGTCTTTTAACATGAAACATAAAGAAACCGTCTATTAACTACTAAATGTAAAACAATGCTTTCTACTGGCCTATCATGACTTATCTCGACTTCCATGGCCTTTCCTGCATTCACCGTCATCCGTGAATGGGAGCTTTACCTTTACCTTTACCTGAAAATATAAGGGTAGTACATGACTTGGGTATTTTAAAAAATACTAAGTCACCCAACTATTGGGGTTAGTAATGCAATCATACACATAACAAGATTTGGGACCTATTCTCTAAAACCATAACATGGTCTTGGACTCTTTCCTATTCTAGGCAGAGTGGGATGTGTGATACTTTTCCACACACAGCCCATGTACGCGCACATAAACCCACCAAGCAAGCTCGTATAGGTACCCTTGAGCCTGGCTTGGTCAGGCACAATGCATTGCATGTCGACGGACGCACAGAAAAGGAAAGGCCTGCATGATATCATGGCGAACATAAATATCGAAGGTACACATCTGTACTAACATAATATAATGGGGAAGTATCCCGATGTACATGACATACATACATGCATGAGGTCTCCATGGTTTACATTCATAATATAACATTAACATCATTCCCTTTCTCGTTTCATCCATGACATATTACATATGTGCATTATGTTTACATGGCAATCATCACATTATCCATCACATAACTTCACATGGCAAGACATGACATGACATACATAGCATTTCATTTCATTCATAACATATTGTAATGTCACATGCATACATTACATAGCATCATATGTCAATTCAAACAGCACATAAGCATAACATAAAATAATATGGTGCATGCAGGGGCCACAAAGCATGCACCATCGTACATCATTCAACTATCAAACTCCAACCGTAAGGTTACTTACATGGTTGACCTTGACCGAAGTTCCTAATCACTTTATAGCTGCCTCGAGACTATACTTCAATATTCAATTTCACCTATGTCAATTCATATCACATTGATAAGACATATCAATACCTTAGTCTAGCTAAATATGACGATTATTTCACATTACAATTTCTAAATCTACCTAAAATGAGTAAACAAGAGTGTTATTGACCTCAATTGCCTCTAATAAGGTCAAAAATAGCTTCAGGAGGGTCAGAAACTTGGGAAACAGTAGTATATTGAGCCACTTAAGCCAAAAAGTTGAGCTGATAAGGATCACGATGTTCCAAATACTAGACCTATTACACAATCAAAGGCCAATAAAATTCAACAAACATTCATTTTTCATCTACAAAATTTTATAGGCGCGGTGCAACTATTATTTTATGTGTTACAAGCTGATTCAATAGAGAAATGATCATTTGGAGCTACGAAAGTGAATATTTGCATGGTTGAAGTTGCGGATGAAGTTGCTATAAATTGCACTTGATTCCCCCTCTTGAGAAGGGATTCTTCCTCGAATCACAACCATCATATACATCAAAAGAACTCAAATCAATAACATTAAAAGTTGCACTAACACCATAGTCACCTAATAAATCAATTTTATAAATAATATGAATTAATAATTTAAATAAAATAGTAAATTATTTAATTGAACTAATTAAATTGTATTGGAAAAATCATTATTCGTGTGGAAATGAAATCGTGGGAGAGTTGCCACGTGCGTGAGAGAGGCGGCAGCCAACTATATATTTATTTATATAAATAATAAATAATAAGACGATTTTTCTCTATTTTTCATTAAATATATAATATATATAATAATAATAATAACAGTGTTGATGTTCTTAGCCCCCAAGTTTGGTTTTCCCACTTTTGGCTGCAAAAACCCTAAAATAATTTCCCTCTTTTCAATTCATTCCTTTCTTTTTGCTCTCCACTCCTTTTTTTTTCTTCTTCTCCACTTCCTTCCTTCTCAGATCCAACATTCCGCCCTTTCTTCTTCTCCAGGTGAGCATCTTACTCCCCCTCACTCAAATTTCCCCCTTATTTCTTCTTCTTCCTTTCCGATTTCTTCTTGATTCTGTTGATCCGATCTTTCTTGCTCTTTTCTTCTTCTTTTCCTTTGTTTTGGTGGATAATTCTTTGATCAATATTTTGAAACGTTACCGGTGGATAATTCTTGCCCTTTGTGTTTGATTTTGTTTTTCCTGCTCTTAATTCTCTCTCTTTATCGATTTTCTTTGTCATTCATGGTTGTTGATTGCAGCTTGGACTTGTGGAACCGCCTCTCTGATCATTTCCGGGTAAATTCGACTACTTAAAAGAGGGTTTTCTTGTTTAAAGTTCGAGGTCTGGGTCTCATGAGAATTTTTAGGGGAATGCAGAAATCGTTTTGCAAGGAGCAGAAGGAGCTGGGCTGGAAGAATATATTCTGCCGAGGGTTGGGTGTCACTGCTCCCAAGGCAAGAACTCGTGATAAACCCATGCTTATTACTGCCTTCTTGACTCTCTGAGCTTCTTGGTTCATTTCTCGAGGCGTCCTCCTTTTAATAAACCACTCCAATGACGAGGGTCTTTATATCGCGAGCTTCCTCTGGTGGTGGTTCTTCTTCTACTAACCCCAACCGATCTTCTGCCCCTGGTGGTTCTTCATCATCTCGCCCTGAACAACAACACGTTTCTACTTCTCCACACCCAGTTTCGAAAGATGAGGACCTTGGAGAGAATGTACAGGAACAGTCTACTACTGTTGATGAGGTTTTGGACGCCACGAATAGCGAAAGCAAGACAGTGAAAACAGAAGATGTTTTGATCGAAGGCTCTTATAACGATCAGCAGATGGAGATTTTGAGAGATGAACTTTCTGGAGATAATGAGAAAGTTGTTAAAGATGATGCTCCGGATGTAGGGGAACTTAGAATGATATCGGATCACTTGCAAATTCTGGAGAGGAACGCACTTGAAAATGAGTGCTGTACCGGGGGTTCTTCGATGGCCATTCCGGGGAATTCACCACCTCCACCACCCCCTGCCCCACCGCTCAAGCCGTCTTCAGTGAGCTCATCAAACACAAGGAGACATGTTTTGGGAAGTTCTAATGCGGGTAGAATTGGGTCCCCAAGAAGTAGTGGCATTGCCCGGTCTGTTGTTTCAAATAGGACCTCCCTCACTGGGTCACGGCCTTCATCTCCAAGATCACATGTCGATAGCGAGGGGTACAACAGTGCCGATGAGCACAACTCTTGTTATGTGTCCTATTATGATCTGGTAAGGTTTTTAGAATGATGCAGATAATTTGATCGATTTCTTGGTTTACTCTTTCGTGTTTCCTAGACTAAATATCTTAGAATTCTGAAATGTTTCTTGTTTTCTTGTTCTAAATAAATGTTAAGACGCTAAAGTGGAATTCTAAAGATCCTCTCTTCTAGTGGTTTCCCCTGATACATTGTGCTTTAGTAGTTAAAGATGTTCATGCAACTCATATTGAATGTCAAGGTTTTCCATTTCTATTTCCTGGCCATCAAATAAGGTTTTTCCCCCTTTTTAGGGGATTTATTTATCTAGGTATTTGAATACCTTGAACATTACTGCATCTTCTGTAATAAACTCTTGTACTGATCCAATGTGTACGTTTCACTTTAACTCATTTTAGGAAAGAGAGAGGCAGTTTGAGGCTGAAATTAAGCGAGTAAAGGGTTTTGAAGTTAAAAGAATGCTGGAGGATGGGAATTGCCTCTTTCGTGCTGTTGCAGATCAAGTGTATGGGGATTCTGAAGCATACGATCTGATTCGACAGATGTGTATAGATTACATGGTATGATGATTTCTGTTGATCTCTCTTTGATGATATTAAGTTAATGATCTCAAAAGATTTTTGGTTTCAGCTTCTGCATTTGACTTAGTTGAAGGATTTAATATTTAATTTGGATTGAATTGAATGTTAATGTTGAACCAAAATTTAATAGATATGGTAAGGTTCATTTTCACCATTACAATGTTAGTAATAAGACCCCAGATTAGTTTTTGTTACTGATGTTGGAAAAGACACAATACTTGCCTATTTATCTTTTTCTTTTTAAAATTTTTTATACAGAGCTGGTCTGCCAATAATGGAGGAGATATATATAGGTTGAATAACAGAGAAACAGTGAAATAGTGACCATAGGCATGCCTAGGGCAGATATTAGGGAAACCAATGAATAGATCAAAGCATTAATCTTCATTAAATAGAGGGAGAGTTCAAAAGGAGGTAAGACAATTGTCCTCCCGATCTTATGGCAAGGGAATTAGGTAAAATCTACTTAACTAGCAATAATCATTGACGGCTAAGAATAATGCAAGATAATTGAGAGAACATACCCTTCATGGAATTCTCATTACATCTAGTTCTCCTTCATTCTGGAGGCCTCCTGTAAAAGAGCTCTTATCTCTATACGTCAAATTGATCTTGGTCTTCTTATCTTAAAATTCCCCAACGGGGTTTGTTTGGAGATAGGAAAACCGAACAAGGATGCTTGAATTTATTATAGTTTAAAGGTAAACCATATTTGACAAAAAGGATATGCTAAGTTTTTTATTTAAATATAAAAAAACGGAACTATGATAGATAGCCAAAGAAGGCATGAAAGATCTCCAGTTGGAAATGGTGTTGGCTTTTGATTAAAGAAAAAATGATTGTTGTAGTATAGGGGGTACACGGACACAAACTATTTGTAGTAGAGCTAGCCTACACTAGAGTCGTCCACCTTTCTAATTTTATCTTTATTTTTTTTAAGTTATTCCCATCTTACTAATTTTATCTTTATTTTTTAAAAAGTTATTACGACCTTTCTAATTTTATCGTTAACTTCTTTTTAAGTTATTCCCAAAAAGTAGCCATGACAACATTCTAAACAGTACTAAGCCTTGAACCCCACAACGATTGGATGGACACTCTGTGTTGTTAAAAAAAAAATGTATTCCAGAAGAATTCAGCAATTTCTCCAACAATAAATTGAAAGAACAATCAAAGAAAAGCTGGATTTAGCTTTCCGTCAAATTTTGTATGGCCTACCAACTAATGAACTATTAAAGACACCTAACTAACTGTAAACAAATAAAGGGTAGTTATATTGAAACAGCAAATTGAATTCACTAGTCACCCATGTTTTTTAAATCCAGAGGCGCACTAAGGTGCAATGACTCTTTGGGGCTGAAGTGCAAGGTGCAAAAAAAAAAAAAAAAGCACGTTTTGTTTTTGAGGTAAACTGTATCAAAAACAGAAAATATAGGTACGTGTATATATACACAGTAAGAAACCTTCAAGGAGAAAAAAGAGGTTCTAACGAAGAAAAATGTATAAACGAACAAGGTCCAAATATTTGCCTTTTAACATAGTGTCAGAGGCAGTACTCCAAAACAAAGAACAAAATCAAAGTTTAAAGTCCTACACTAGATAAGGGTTCATCCTCATTCTTCCCATTATTAGACTTATATCCATCTGTAAGTTCTTTGTCTTCAAACTCAAGAGTTGTCCAAATTTACTAGTGTGGGTGTGGGTTGTGTGGAGGATGAACATGGAGCTTTAGTCTTGGTTCTTGAAGTAGATAATAGATAAGTTCTTTTGGTCCAGTTTCTCTTGAAACATTGCCACTTGTTAAAGAATCATCCTTGGATGCAAGATCATCCTCATCTTCAGAATCATCATTTATTCTTCTTGTACTGTCATCAATATCTTTTGAAGAGATGGGGTCAATGACTTCCCGAATTTTATATCGACGTTTCAATGCCCTATTATATTTGATGAACACCAATTCATTCAAACAACTTTCTGCAAGCGTTTATATTGAAATTCCTCTACAATTTTAACTAAGAATTTGAAACTTATTTCTCAAGGTAATTTGAGGAGAAATAACTAACTTGCCATAAAAAAACTCTCCAATTATGTTCGCATCACTGCAAGTAAGACCTTGCAAGTTTGGAGCTGATTGTCCAAAATCGTTCCACTAGTAGATGACTATTTTGATAATATTCCATCTCACTTTAGTGTAAGGATCATGGTCCATTTGGATCCAGTTTTTCCTGTACATTAATTGAGTTTACTATGCTGTTCAGGAGCGTGAGAGGGATCACTTTTCCCAGTTTATAACTGAAGGATTTACATCTTATTGCAAGAGGAAAAGAAGAGATAAGGTTTGGTGTAGTTTAGATTGTTATTATTATGTTTTAATTCTATAACCTTTTCCTTCAATTTTGGTGCTTGGTGATGGAATGGGGTTATTTCATCTGTTGCAGGTATATGGAAATAATGCTGAAATCCAAGCGCTTTGTGAGATGTATAATCGACCAATACATATTTTCTCATATGGCACAGGTGCAAATTATGTGTATATTCATATGGTTATAGACACTGCTCTTGGATAGTGGTTTAGCTACCTTTTTAAAAAGTAGTGCCCAATCGTCTGTGCTTATAGTTTGTCATTACTGTACTTATTGGCAAAGAGGGTAGTTTTTTATATTTTTTATATTTTTACGTTCTCATGGTTTGTTACTATTATCATTAGTTTTAGTGTTATCATTAGTCTTTGGTTTTTTTATACATTTTTTATAATTACCTTTATTATAATGCAGAACCTATTAACATCTTTCATGGAAACTATACTACTGACCTGCCTCCCATTCGGTTGAGTTATCATCATGGCAATCATTACAACTCTCTTGTTGATCCACGACGCTTAGCAATTGGTGCAGGGCTTGGCTTCAGCAGTCTTCGAGGGGTATGCTTTTATTTTAAAGCTCTACATTTCTTCTTTGTTTGTTATAACAACAATTAAGGAAACAGTTAGAGGCTTCCCTGGAAACAGGGAGATCTATAAAACAAGGTGAAAAGATGGCAACCCACCCTATCAAATGGTTTTTAAAATAATTTTTCCAATAAGCCTTCGAAGGGCATAGTATGATATGGCCTGTTCAAGGCATGGTATTGTCAGAGACCACACAATTCCTTTCTGAGAGACAAGTATAACGAAGAATTTAAGAAAATTATAGGGTTTTGGTTTTCCTTCCCTTTCTTGTAATTTCATTTTTCAATGAAATTATATCTTGCAAAAAAAACAATAATAATAATAATAAATAAATAAACAAACAAAAGAAAATTCTTGACTGCCCTAAACCTTTAAATAAATGTTGTCATTCTGCCCATAGGTCTTAGGGCAAAAGATTTTAGAGCCGTAGTTTTAGACCAGGAATTTTTAGTCTAAATTTAGTTCCTGAATAGTAGGGCTTAACTTCCTTAATGATTTTTTTATGTTGAACTCTAACTAGCCATTGTCATTACTATTTTTACTTAAATATTGACCTTACTTGCCGAAGGGACTAGCAGGTGATGATATGGTATAACATCGCATAAGGGAGTAGTTTAGCTGGATAAATGAGGGTGGGAGGGGAAACAAAAGAAGATGGTGGGGCTTGAGTGTAATACATTTTAAACTGGATGTTTTACCACCCTATGCGTTTGTATTTTATTTGGTTGGTCTACCACTTTGTGCCATCTTCAGGTCGTGTCGAATCTCACTTATTAATTTGTTAATATGATGTGTTATCCATATATAACTAATATGAATGATAGGAAAATTGTATCGGAATTGAAAGTTCAACACATAAATGGATTTTATAATATCAGTGACTAAATAGATGCAACCGTGATTCATTTTTTAATGCTCAGAGACTAAACTAGGGACTGAATCTGTATTGAACCACAAGATTTTTTTGCTAAGGTTTTGGCAACAAGGATGAGATTGCTGCTGATTTTTTCTACGGGAGCATTTGGTGCTAGGAAACAAATTTTAGGAGACATTTTAGATGAGGTTCTCATACTTAATGAGATGAAAGAGGATTACATATGCTTTATACGAAAAAAAAAAAAAAAAAAGGGAGAGAAATGTTATTTTTATATTGATTTGAGGTATGACATAGGATCCTTTATTCTTTTTTTCCTTTTTGTAGTAGATCTTCTTGCCAGACTTAATCTGACAGGCACAAATTCAACGAGTGAAAGGTTTCTTTGTAGAAAGGGACGACCTCTCTGATTTGCCATTTTGTTGATATCATCCTATTCTTTTGCTTTGTGTCAATCTCAACGAAGATCTGGTTTAAATTTTGACAAGAAGAAATTTTTAGTTTTGACTTCAATTGTGATCTTGGTAAGCTTGAGAGATAAGCTCAGTTGTGGACGGTTGTGAGATTTTATCTTTGTCCAAGACATGGGCATTCATTGATATGTAGTCCAAGGGCTTGTTCTTTTTTAGATCCGTGGTTTGGAAGAATTCAATGGTGTTCTCTGCTTGGAAGAAAGCCTCTTTCAAGCTTTTTGAATCCGTAAGGAACTATTTACACGGGTATTTTCTTCTTATTTTGAAAATATTTTGAGTTTGAGCAGTTGAGGAGTAGATCCTCCCAGGATTAATGAGTCGGAATATCATATCACTATTTCTTCTACAGATAGAGAGAAACTTTTCTGACTGAGTTCTTAAGATTTAGTTTATCCACCAACTGATTCCTAGGGCCAAATGTAACTGGAAGAACTTCAATGGATGATCATTCTTTTAAAATACATTTGATGACTATTGTGTGTTTTTGAACTTTTTGTCGAACATCTTTATCGACCTTAATGTTTTTGGTCTGCAGGCAAATGTTGACAAGGATAAAGTGAAGGCTGCTTTGAAAGCGCAGCAAGATCAACAGATTGATAATGCAAGTATCTTGGATTGTTATATTTTTAGATCACAGGAGATTTGTGAAGTAAAAGTGATCTTAACATTATTTTACTTTTCTGACTTGACAGTCTCTTCTTGCTCAAGGACGGTATTTCTCAGATCTTGAGGTTACTGAAAAGGAGATAGAACAGATGGTGATGGAAGCTTCGAGAACTGAATATCTCGCTAAATATTCCTCGAAACAGCAATTGGACCGAAGAGACAATTCCTCAACCCCGGGTGCAGAACCATCTTCTTCAGGCGCCAGTACGTATACTCTTCTTATGACTCGTACTCGTTGGAAATGGGAAGTAAAAAACGTTAGCTTTATGTTAAAAATTTCAGGATCGTCGGGAAGTGAGGGTAACTGTAAGAGAGAAAGCGGCGGGGTGCAGGAGTCGGTTTTAAGCAATGGGATGCAAACAGTGCTTTCGATGGGGTTCGGTTACCTACAGGTGATCGAAGCTTATAGCATATTTGGAGACGATGTGGATTCAATGGTTTGTTATTTGTTGGAAACTGGGGAGAGCAGCAGACGCAAAGGCAAGGCCACAGAATGATGGAGTGAGTAAAAGCAGCAGCCAGCTTTTACGTTAGGACAAACACTACTACCGGTGGAAAAGGGTTGGTCTCTCAAATCTCTCTCTAATATTCCAACAACATCATCATTGGTTTCACTGGGTAAGTGAGAAAGTATTAAAGAGAGAGGTGTGTATGGGAACGAACTTGGATCCTGTTCTGGCATCATCATCATATATGATAATAAAGCAAACTCTACCCTTTTAATCTCCCATCTCTATTACACAACCTCTCTATTGGTTGATAAAAAAAATGTCTTTCAAGAAAATTCTCAATGCTTTATGAATATAAAGGGAATTTTTTGTTGAAACACTACTGAATCTATATCAGTTTAGGGGAAGATGATTTAATTTTGAACCCAAATTGAGATTTTCTCAAGGAGGTAAAGAAGGCTTTGGTCTAAGTAAACCCTTTTGTGCATGGTCGAAGTTTCTTCATGTTGCTTTTTAAAAAGCTTTTGAAATTTTTGCGTGCACACAAGTTGACTTTGGGGGGGTGTACACAAATCACAAGTTGAATGGAGAAAATCTTATAGACCCGTTCGAGTTGACTTTGGGGTGTACACAAGTCACAAATCTTATAGATCTGTTCAAAATTTTGGATTTGTTAGGTTGAAATCAATGTGTTACATATGCCCTTTATTTTTCGTATTTTTCGTTTTCAATTCTTTTTTGAATTATAGCAGAATTCTTTTTTGAATTATAGCAGTTCTAGGTTTAAATATTACTTTGATCCAAGTACCTTTAGCTGTAGTTTATTTTGGTTTCCATTACTGGAAAAAAATAGAAAGAAGAAAATATTCAATTTAGTTAATGTACTTTTAAATTTGATTCATTTTTGTGAGTATCAAAATATTTATTTTTGTCCTAAAAAAAAAACAAGAAAAAAAATTAACATGAAATTAATAAAATGAAAAATTAGCGCGAAAATTAACCTTTTGAAATTACAAAAATTAAATTTAGTTAAATGTAAAAAGTATAAATACTAATGTAGTATTTAATGGTTCACATCTTAACATTTGATGATTTCTTTTGTGTTGGGACTTTTTTTTTAATTCAACCGTTTATAATTAGAGATCAAATCATTGACCTTTGCGTTGACTCAATTAGATGATAAACAAATAAGATTTAATAAATAGCTCTTGGATTTAGCTAAGTTAGGAACTCACACCTGTGCACTCTATAGAATGGAGATTTCTCTCTATACCTCTCCCTCCCCAATTCTTTATAGATTTTCTTTCAATAAACTCTCTATTTGAGTCATAGTAGGGAAGACGGTGGAAGTATAGGAAATTCAATTATTTAATTAAATTTTGTTTAATTCTAAATAAAATTTAAGTGGTTTCCAACGCTTTTGTGGTATGAAAAAAAAGTTCATTTAGAATCAAGCCATCAATGCCTAGAAAAAATCAAAAAAACCACCACCAAAACCTACCAAAATAATGAGGGCTCCCGAGGAACATACCAATGGTTGAGCTTTTTTCGTTTTTTTTTTTTTTTTTTTTTTTTTTT